GTAACACTCAGTAACTTTCAGTAACTGTCAGTAACACTCAGTAACTTTCAGTAACTGTCAGTAACACTCAGTAACTTTCAGTAACTGTCAGTAACACTCAGTAACTTTCAGTAACTGTCAGTAACACTCAGTAACTGTCAGTAACACTCAGTAACTGTCAGTAACAATCAGAAACTGTCAGTAACACTCAGTAACTGTCAGTAACACTCAGTAACTTTCAGTAACTGTCAATAACACTCAGTAACTGTCAGTAACACTCAGTAACTGTCAGTAACAATCAGAAACTGTCAGTAACACTCAGTAACTGTCAGTAACACTCAGTAACTTTCAGTAACTGTCAGTAACACTCAGTAACTGTCAGTAACACTCAGTAACTTTCAGTAACTGTCAATAACACTCAGTAACTGTCAGTAACACTCAGTAACTGTCAGTAACTGTCAGTAACACTCAGTAACTGTCAATAACACTCAGTAACTGTCAGTAACACTCAGTAACTGTCAGTAACTGTCAGTAACTGTCAGTAACACTCAGTAACTGTCAGTAACACTCAGTAACTTTCAGTAACTGTCAGTAACTGTCAGTAACACTCAGTAACTGTCAATAACACTCAGTAACTGTCAGTAACACTCAGTAACTGTCAGTAACACTCAGTAACTGTCAGTGACTGTCAGTAACACTCAGTAACTGTCAGTAACACTCAGTAACTGTCAGTAACACTCAGTAACTGTCAGTAACACTCAGTAACTGTCAGTAACTTTCAGTATCACTCAGTAACTGTCACAAGCAAATGATGTGGGCTTTCTAGATCATTGGCAGACTTTCTGGGGAAGACCTGGTCTGATCCGGAGAGACGTCATCCATCCCACTTGGGAAGGAGCAGCTCTCATTTCTAGAAATCTGGTCAAGTTTATTAGTGGACCAAATCCATGACAACCCAGAGTTGAGACCAGGAGGCAGAGTCGCAGTCTAACACACTTCTCTGCCCTTCTTTTCAGGAGTTACTTAGTGAAAATCCTATAGTGACGGTGTCTGTCCCCCGACCATCGAAATTATTTAAATCAAAGTTAAACAGAAGAGGAGCTGTGCATGAAAACCTCATAAAAATTAAAACCACAAGAGCAATAGTGCAAATGAATAGGAGAGTTAAATGTGGACTCTTAAACATCAGATCTCTCTCTTCTAAAGGTGTACTAGTAAATGAACTAATATCAGATTATGATATTGATTTATTTGGTCTTACTGAAACCTGGCTGGGTGATGGAGAATATGTTAGCCTAAATGAATCCACCCCTCCCAGTCATATTAATACTCACATTCCTCGAGGCACAGGCCGAGGAGGTGGAGTTGCAGCTATCTTCCACTCTAGCCTACTAATCAGCTCTAAACCTAAACTAAATTATAACTCATTTGAAAGCCTTGTTCTTAGTCTTTCACACCCAAGTTGGAAATCACTGCAACCAATTCTTTTTGTTATAGTGTACCGAACACCTGGCCCGTACTCTGAATTCTTATCTGAATTTGCAGAGTTTTTGTCAACTTTAGTCCTTAAAACGGACAAAGTTATTATTGTAGGAGATTTTAATATTCATGTGGATGTTGAGAATGACAGCTTCAGTACTGCGTTTATCTCTTTGTTAGATTCCATCGGCTTCTCTCAGAGTGTTCATGAACCGACTCACTGTTTTAACCACACCCTCGACCTTGTTTTGGTGTATGGTATTGAAATTGAACATTTAGTGGTGTTCCCACAGAATCCCTCTTTGTCCGACCACTGTTTGATAACTTTTGAGTTTGTATTGCTGAACTACTCGCCATGGGGCAAAAATTTCTATACAAGATGTCTGTCTGATAGTGCTGTAGCTAAATTTAAGGATGCGATTCCATCAGCTCTAAATTCATTATCTAGTCACAAAGTAACGGAGGACTCCTATGCTAATTTCAGTCCCTCCCAAATCGATCATCTTGTTGATAGTGCTGCAGGCTCGCTGCGAATGACACTCGACTCTGTAGCCACTGTAAAAAAGAAAATACTAAAACAAAGACGGTTAGCTCCATGGTATAATACTGAAACTCGCAAATTAAAGCAAATATCTTGAGAGGAAACTTGAGAGGAATTGGCGTTCCACCAAAGTGGAAAATTCTCGTTTAATTTGGCAAGATAGTCTTAAAACTTATAGGAAGGCCCTCCGTAATGCCAGAGCAGCGTACTACTCGTCATTAATAGAGGAAAATAGGAACAACCCCAGGTTTCTTTTCAGCACTGTAGCCAGGCTGACAGAGAGTCACAGCTCTATTGAGCCAAGTATTCCCATAGCTCTCAGTAGTTACGACTTCATGAGCTTCTTTAATGATAAAATTCTAGCTTTTAGAGACAAAATTCACCAAGACCTGCCCTCAACTGGCACCGACTTATCTCTTAACTCAGGAACCTTAGAAACCGCTGTAGAACCAGATACATGTTTAGACTGTTTTGCTTCACTCAATCTTTACCAACTAACTTCAATAATTTCTTCATCTAAACCATCAACCTGCCTCTTAGACCCCATCCCGACTAGGCTGCTTAAAGATGTTTTACCCTTAGTCAGCACCTCTATACTAGATATGATCAATCTATCTGTATCAACAGGCTATGTACCACAGTACTTTAAAGTAGCTGTAATTAAACCTCTTCTGAAAAAGCCCAAACTTGATCCGGATGTTTTAGCCAACTATAGACCTATATCTAACCTTCCATTTCTCTCTAAGGTTCTGGAGAAAGCAGTTGCTAAACAGCTGTGTGACTTTCTACAGAGCAATAGTTTATTTGAGGATTTTCAGTCAGGATTTAGAGCTCATCATAGCACAGAGACAGCACTGGTGAAAATTACTAATGACCTCCTTATTGCATCAGACAAAGGACTTGTCTCTGTACTGGTTTTATTAGATCTTAGTGCTGCATTTGATACAATTGACCATCACATCCTATTGCAGAGACTGGAATATTTCATTGGCATTAAAGGAACCGCTCTAAGCTGGTTTAAGTCCTATTTATCAGATCGATTTCAGTTTGTACATGTTAACGATGAGTCCTCCATGCACGCCAAAGTTACTCATGGAGTTCCTCAAGGATCTGTCCTTGGACCAATCCTCTTCACTTTATATATGCTTCCTTTAGGCAATATTATCAGGAAACATTCCATAAGCTTTCATTGTTATGCAGATGATACTCAGTTATATCTATCGATCAAACCAGATGAAACTCATCAGTTAGCTAAACTTCAAATGTGCCTTCAGGATGTTAAAACCTGGATGACCTGTAATTTTCTCATGTTAAACTCAGATAAAACTGAAGTTATTGCTCTGGGGCCTAAGCACCTCCGTGACGCATTATCTAAAGATATAGTTTCCCTGGATGGCATCGCCCTGGCCTCCAGCACCACTGTGAGGAATCTTGGAGTTATCTTTGATCACGACATGTCGTTTAAGTCTCACATTAAGCAAATTTCAAGGACCGCCTTTTTTCACCTACGTAATATTGCGAAAATCAGGAACATCTTGTCTAAAAATGATGCAGAAAAACTAGTCCATGCATTTGTTACTTCTAGGCTGGATTACTGCAATTCCTTATTATCAGGCTGCTCGAAAAAGTCCGTTAAGACTCTTCAGCTGATCCAGAATGCTGCAGCACGTGTTCTGACAGGAACCAGGAAAAGAGATCACATTTCTCCTGTTTTAGCTTCTCTGCATTGGCTTCCAGTAAAATCCAGAATAGAATTTAAAATCATTCTTCTTACCTACAAAGCTCTTAATGGTCAGGCACCATCTTATCTTAAAGAGCTCATAGTACCTTACTACCCCACCAGAGCACTGCGCTCCCAGAATGCAGGGTTACTTGTGGTTCCTAGAGTCTCCAAAAGTAGACTAGGAGCCAGAGCGTTCAGCTATCAAGCTCCTCTCCTGTGGAACCAGGTTCCAGTTTGGGTTCAGGAGGCAGACACCATCTCCACATTTAAGAGTAGGCTTAAGACTTTCCTCTTTGATAAAGCTTATAGTTAGGGCTGGCTCAGGTGAGTCCTGAACCATCCCTTAGTTATGCTGCTATAGGCCTAGACTGCCGGGGGATTTCCCATGATGCACTGAGCTCCTCTCTCCTCTACTTTCTCTCCCTCTGTATGCAACCTCATCCCATTATTGCATGTTACTAACACAACTTCTCCCCTTTCTGGTAGTCTTGTGCTTTCTCGTCCCTCTCCTCTCTCCTCCTATCACTTCCTGCAGGTGTTTCTGGCTCTGGAGCTGTGGAGTCTGGATCTGTGGTTGCGGGTCACCTGCTGCCCCCGTGTTCCTGCTCGACACCCTCTGCTGCAACAACTATTGTTACTAGTCCTATTATTATTATTGTTATTATAATCTTTAACATTAGGATTGTTATCATTAACACTACTATAAATATCTGTACCATTTTTCATTTAGTCTATAGCAACATCACCTTTACTGTCTGTACCTCTGTGTGGATATTGTGTAGGCTGCCTCCCTCCCCTCTCTCTCCTTCCATCCCTCTCTCTGTTCCTCTCTTGCCCTCTCTCTCTCCCCCTCTCTCTCTCTCCCCTTCCACCTCCCCCCTCTCTCTCTCTCTCCCTCTCCCTCCCTCCCCTCTCTCTCTCCCTCTCCCTCTCCCTCCCTCCCCTCTCTCTCTCCCTCTCCCTCCCTCCCCCTCTCTCTCTATCTCTCTTTCTCTCTCTCTCTCCTTCACCCCAACCGGTGGAGGCAGATGGCCGCCCACCCTGAGCCATGGTTCTGCTCGAGGTTTCTGCCTCTTAAAGGAAGTTTTTCCTTGCCTCTGTCTCCTAGTGCTGCTCTTGGTGGGAACTGTTGGGCTTCTGTAAATATCATCACAGAGTACGGTCTAGACCTGCTCTTTATGAAAAGCGCTGTGAGATAACTGTTGTTGTGATTTGGCGCTATATAAATAAAATTGAATTGAATCAGTCAGTAACAGTCAGTAAAGAGCTGGTCCTTACAGCAGGGCTCTCTGGCAGCAGCCTGCCCAGACTCAGATCTCCTCTTCCAGCCTCTCGTGCTCAGACGGCTGGCTCTTCATGTGGGCTTTCTGGGTCTTGGCCTCGTACAGCTCTCTGGTGCTGGCTCTCCTGAAGAAGCCACACTGAACAGCAGGGGGCAACACAACGGCACTTTACCAAGCAGGAGGTGATGGTGGCTTTATGAACATTTTCATGGTGAACACAAAACTAATCCCACATCCAGGGGTGGGACAGAAGGGTTCAGGTCTCTGCACATGTTTACCTTCCAGAGCAGCAGGCAGATCAGAGCCAGCAGGGACACTCCAGCCAGGACAGACACCACAATGATCCACAGGGGGGCACTGGACTCCTCCTGCTGCCCCAGGTCCGGATAAACGTGGACCTCAATCTGAGAGGAAGACCACAGTGACTGGTCATCATGTTGTATCTGTAATGAGCACTGCTGCCTGTAGGGGGTGCTAGCAGCAGCTCAGTACCTCTGTGCCGTGAGACTCCATGTGGATGGTGGGTTTGTTGGTCTGCAGTTTCAGAGTCACCCGGCCTCGAACCAGCACATTCCTCGCATCGCTGTAGTCCTGAAACACATACAGGAAGGTCTGAGTGTAAGAAGTGAGACAACTGAGCCTGTCTGCAGGCAGCAGGCGGCCCACGGCGGGTTTAAAGGTCCACAGCTGCTGCTGGATCTGAACCAGACAGGACGTGTGCCAAACAAACAAAAGGAGAAGCTAAAAGAGGCTAAAGACGTAGACAGTCCCTTAAAGATCAGTTAAAATGTGATGAAAGTGTCTGTACCTCGATCATGGTGGAGTTCCACAGTCTGGCTCTGACTGTCAGAGTCGCCGAGTTGTTCATGTTGACCAGCGGGCAGACGAACGTCACACATTTAGCCCCGTTGCCACAGCCCTGCACACAAACATACAAACCTTTCTACCAGTGACTATCCAACTCTTTCACATCAGGGACCCCAAAGCTGACACAAATGAAACCGTGGACCCCCTTATGATGGGAGTTCTGCTGTTAATACAGAATGTGGCTGAAACCAAAGACCTAGTCATACTTCCTGTCATTGTTTTTTGAGAACCACTGCACCACCGAGGATGTCCATTCCCCAGCCTCTAACCCCAAACGAAATAATATACGTTTAAGCCTGACCCTTAAAGCAACAACCCAACTTTAATCCATAAATCAAATGCTCCGACACACACACGGAAACAACCTGTGGCTGCAGGACAGGAAATAGAACAGCCAGTGTGAAATGATGTGAATCACTTGGGTACTTTTGTTAATCTGTCTCTTGCTGGGTGTTAATTCTTTAAAGAGGTCCGACAACATCCAGTCCTTATTATACAAGAAGGACAAAGACAGACACTTCCCACAGACCGTTTGTAATGATGAGTTTGTTTACACGTCAGAGCGCCCCCTGTGGGGGGCTGCAGTACTGCACCACTAATAGAAGCCGGGTTAAAGGAATGAGTGTGTTTGTACCAGAGTGTAGGACTTCTTCTTCTGTCCCTGCAGGTGGTGGACAGGTAGAGCTTTTTCAGTCTGCTCCTCCTTCTTCTCCTTTACCTGCTCCTCCTCCAGACTCCTCTTCTTCTTCTCCTTCCCCTCCTCCTTTGACAGCTGAGCATACAGGAAGGGAAAGTCATCAACAACCGAAAAGTCGGTCAGGAAAGATGGTTTATAAAGACATGAGGAGCTCTCTGCTGGGACAGACTGGGACATCAGGACAAAAGCCATTCTGAAAGCAGTCTTCTCCTGTTGGAGTTGGTTTAATTACACCATCTACATGATCTCTGTTTGCAGGAAGGTTTGTGGATATTAATATACATTAGAGCTGAACGATTAATCGTTTTCAAATCAAAATTGAGATTTATATACATATATGTAAATCGCAATTTCAATAAAATATATATATATATAACCCTTATTACCATGGTTTCCAGAGAGTTAAGATAGGATTTGCTGGTTAGTAGATTTCTATAATACAGCCAGTGGAAATAAATATTAAAGAGATGATATTCTGCTCATTTTCAGGTTCATCATTTTCTTCGGTGGTTGAACCAGAACAGGTTTACATGGTTTAAGAACACCATCTCTTTGTCATACCCTGTGTGATGAACGCTTTGTTTTAGCTACCAAGTGAAGCATCTCACTTCTATAAGATCTTTGCTGCGAGTTGCACGTGAGTAGTACCTGAGTAAAGACTACTAGCAAATCAGAAGCAGGGCGGGTCCTAACAAGCCGATAACCAGGACTGACAAAACGTTTATTTCAACGCAAACGGAGCTGTCTTGAACACGCAGCTGTGTACACAAGCGCACTGCACATTACTGCCTTTTTAATACGACTGTGTTTACGTACTTGTCGTAGCTCATTGGGCATCACCTCTGACACGCCCACCAAATGGGAGAAAATGTACCTCAAAGCCCGTTGTGCAGTGTTGCAAAATGTTTCAAGGAAACACATCATTTATTCTGAAAACATTGCAAACTGGTGCAGATCATTTTGACTCAAGGCTTCGGTTCAGCTATACATGTTCCTAAACCAGCTTCAGAACCTAGGCATTTATTTTTCATAAGGTTTTAATTGAGCTCTGTCTCTACATCACAGCTGTATGTCCTGTATGTAGGGGCTCTAACGCTGGGTAGGGAGGGTGGGCTGAGCGGAGGCAGCGTGTGCACTGTGTAGGCAGGTCGATTTATTGTCACAATATAACAGGTTACAGAGTGAGACAGAAACAAACTATATTTCTCCACCAGTGTTTTTGAGGGCGTGCCACACTAGCCGCTACGCGAGCATCATGCTGCGTGTTACAGAGTGATGCAGAGAGGTTGCTGACGTAAAGGCTGGACCACAATCCAGCGGGGTTCAGTTCAGGAGCAGAGGTTTCTGTGGAAGAGGGGAACTCCCTTTGGGCTTTTTCACTTTGCAAACCTATTACGTGCACAAAAAAACAGAAAACTCAATAAAGGGGAAAAGGCAAAAAGCAGAATATGACCTAACTAACAACAACACAATAAAACAACTGAAATGTAAAAAACAACCTGTCCATCATGTTGACTGGTTAGGTGGTAATGTTTTGATAATTTCAGTCTCGTATGTAAACAAAACCTGCTTGTAGATACTCGCACTGTCCCTAATGATAAAGACCTTTCCCCTGAATTAGATTAGAAATAGATTTTAGGAGCAGGGATGTAGATTATTGAAGGTTTACAGTTAATTCTAAACCAGCAGGCAGCTCTGTGCACCTCCTCTGAAAAAGAAGACTTTATTCTGAGAGGCAAACAAGAAATAGACGAGTAAAAGGCGCTTCAGATTCTGATTGGACCGGCCTTTATTCTGAAATGTTCCAGCTCAGGACTTTTATTTTGAAAGGAGTACTGTGAGGCAGATGTTGACATAGTTACCCTGAGTTTGAGGGGGTTGATGATGTCGCGGGGCGGAGCACAGTGAGGCTCTGATGTGCCGTTTACTTGGATCTCTGTGAGGTACAGCAGCCACTTCCCATTGGACACCTCCCTCGGCCAATCAAACTCCACCTCAAGGTTGCCTAGGCGACCCAGTGGCTTCCCGCTGATGTGCACCTATCAGAGAAGGCAGTGGTTAACACCTGGTCTGTTTACACTCCAATAGTCAGACTGATATCAGACACACCTGCAAAGTGAAGAGCAGCAGACTGCCGACATCCGCCGTCTTCACCATGGCCGACTCACCGATCACATGACCACTGAAGGCCACGGGGCCTGGTGGACTGATTCTGTCAGGACACAATCAGCTGAGTGAGGTCATCAGGTCCAAGGTCAGAGGTCAACATTAAAGCTCTTACACTGTGTGTTACTTACAGATGGAGAGAAGTGTGCAGTGAATACTCCACCAACATGGAGACAGAGACAGGAGAAAGGTCTGACTGCTCACTGAGCCTGAAGACACAGAGACACAACTCAGTACCTGTCCAGGAAAACACACTCAGACAGGTGTGTGTGTGTGTGTGTGTGTGTGTCCTACGTGGACAACTGCAGCTGAGACTGAATCTCTCTGGTGTCTAAACTGATCTCATCCGGCTGAAATATGATCAACACCTGAACCTGAAATACAGGAAGAGACGGATGATCAGGTAGAGTCTCAGCAGGAATACTGCAGTACAGGCAGGAATACAGAAGATAGTACTAGCAGTACTGCAGCAGCAGCAATACTAGACTGTCAGGAATGTTCTGTACCTTCTGGTTGCTTTTGAATGGGTTCCCCAGCTGACACTGAAGAACGGCATTCACAACAGAACACTCCACCTTCGCCTGGATGTCACCCTGAAACATAAACAAACACAGTACTGACTGTAGGACTAACTGGTCCAAGTCCCAGCTCTGAAGTCCATCAGGCAAGTCCTTTAGGGTAAGTCTGAAGTCAAGGACAAGCAAAAGGGAGGAGCCCAGAATCGAACCGCCAATCTCGTGTCAAGAACCAACTAAAGCCCAAGGTCTGGAAAGTCCAAGTTAAGTCTCAAGTCAAGCTCTTTATACCAAGTCCAAGTTGAGCATCAAGTCAAATCCCAGGTGCTTTAGGGCAAATAGAAATAAAGTCTGAAGTCAGTTAGGTAAGCTCTCTAGTCAAGTAGTCACATCCTTTAGCGTAAATCAAAAGGCGAAGGCAAATCTCAAGTCAAATGCCAAGTCTTTTAAGTAAAGTCTAAATAAAGTCACAGGTAAGTCTTTTAGTCCAGCTTCAAGTCAAGTTTAAATCTTACTGGGGCACGTCCAAGTGAACTCTCATAGTCCAGTTCTTTCAGCTGGTCCAAGTCAAGTTTTCACAAGCAAATTGCAAGTCTTTCCAAACTGTAACATGGTAATGGAGTCTCAGTCCACTACTCTTCTCTACCTACATGCTGAGTAACTTAATTCACAGCTTCAGCTTAAATATACACTCATATGCAGATGATACTCTGCTCTGCATCAACTTTGTCTAGTTCCCCACCTGCTAAAAGCTGGATGACAAAGAGCTTTAGTTTCACTACCTTTGTTCGGACTCCGGAGTATATGAGTGATGGTGGGATGCTAACGTTCAAAACAGCGTTGTGTGCATCTTCTGCTTGTCGGCCTGGTGACGGTGTGTTGCTGACGTTAACCTCCAGAAACAATCGGTTAACGCCGCCTTTGTAGTAAAAAAACTGACTGTCCTTCTTCCTGGAAACACAGAAACACACAAATCACAACATGACAGCATCAGTTTGAGGTTGGTTGGGACTCAGGAGGTAGAGCGGGTTGGCCGTTAATCGGAAGGTTGGCGGTTCAATCCCTGGCTCCCCCTGGTTGCATGTCAAAGTGTCCTTGGGCAAGATACTGAACCCCGAACTGTCCCAGTGTATGAATGTGTGTGAATATTTCCGTTTGAGCATTTAGGCTCAGTGTATGAATGTGTATGACTGGTGAATGCAGATGTATTGTAAAAAGCGCTTTGAGTGGTCGAAAAGACTAGAAATGCAGAGCATTTGCATGGAGCATTTGCATGTATGGAGCATTTACATCCTTCAGGTCAAGGTTGTGTCAACTCCCAGCAAATCTAGGTCATAAGTTCTTCAAGGACGGTTCGATCAAGTCAAGTATTAGTCCCGAATCCCCTAAGGGATTAGTCGAAGTTAACCATCAGACCATTCAGGGTTGTAAGGGAAGTCTCAAGTCAGTAACTACATTTCTTTTGTTTATTCCTTTGAAAATGCTGGAAGAAGGAACACTGTGCAGATGTACTAATAAAATGTTTGATATGATCAGTCGTTACCTGAGCTGCTGTGTGTTGAACCCACAAAAGCACAAAGACAGAAAAGCACAAGACCCACAGTCTGATATGGAGGAGTTCACTCACATGGGGAAGGGATTCTGGTTCTCATCTGTGAACTGGGCCGTCATCTGCAGGTTACTATGGCAACGGTTATCAGAACCACAGGCCTTCTGGATGTGGATCTGATAGATACAGAAATTCTAGATAAGTGAAGGAACGTTCAAACAGTGAGTAAGTTCAAGAGTTTTCCGTGGGTTCTGTTAGTTTTTGATCTTGTTTGGACAACCTGGGTTCTGACTTTGGTTCGGCACAGATCTGTGGTGGGTGACGTAAGTTTCCTAAGAGGTAAGAAGTTGTGAGGTACAGGTAACTTATGGACCCAGTGACAGAACGACCTTGGCCTGTCTCAGGTAATAGTTTATTCTGGGTAGATTAGCTGAGCCGCTGCCTAGACAACCAAGGACAGATGATCCATTCTCTGTCTGGTAGACTTCCCAAGGCCAGTAAACAGTTAAATACTGGTTTTGGCCCTTACTCTGTACTGCTGTTGCCGTTCTCTCCTCAGCTGAGCTGAGATATTACTGTACGACATCCTGAGATTACTGGGACCTTCACGAACAAATTACCCCCATTCTGGCCTCGCTCCACTGGCTCCCTGTACATTTTAGAATACATTTTAGGCTTTTAATGTTTGTTTTTAAGTCACTTAATGGGTTGGCACCTCAGTACATCTCTGAGCTCCTGCACACTTACACCCCACCAAGGTCATTGAGGTCTGCTGATCAGCTGCGGCTGAATGTGCCCAGGACCAGGCTGAAGACCAGGGGCGATCGCTGGTTTCTATTGGGTTTTGTGGGTTCTGAACAGTTCTGTAGTTTCTGTGAGTTCTGACCTGGGTTCTAATGGGTCGAGGGGTCTGGCTCAGCACGGGAAATCGTTTCAGGTCCTGGACAGTGTTTCTTTTCTTGGGAAGCTTCTCATACAAAGAGACGTTTAGGGAGAATACCAAAGGTTCCACTTTGTCTCGGATCGAACTCTGCAGAACATAAAACACAGAACAGAACTTCGTCAACACTTTTCTTTGTCTTCAACGAAGAACTTTTGATCCTCTGAGGACAGATGACTCCAGAGTGTCCTTGAACGCACCAACAGTGGTACTTTTCAGATGAGTCTGCTGGACACATGATGATGAGTTCTCTTTAACAGAACATGCATGTGACTAAACACACCGACTGTGAAGGATCAAGTCCCTACAAGCTGTTGGAAAGAAACCAGGCCGAAAGTAGAGACATGATTTAAAGATTGACCAGCAGGAATGTGAACAAACAGGATTTATAGTTAATGGACTACAAACAGCAGCGTGGGGTTGGTGTGGGTCATCACTCAACATCGTCCTGAACTGAATCAAAACAGAACAACAGAGAAAATGTGGGCAGAAACACAAACATGCTGATAAGAACTACATGACAGATCAAGCCCGGCACATCGTGTACTTGTCCTCAACACTTCTACCTGCATGTGGACCAGCTGAGAACTCAACAACTCTTTAAAGGAGCAGTCTGGGAAACAAGCTGGGTACTAAAAAGGGCTTTTTCAGATGCTTCTTGTTGCAGCATCTTGAACAGAAAGGTTCAGTTTTTCCTCTGGACCCTGGTGAAGAAGCAGGATGTGAAGTCTGTCAGCAGCAGACTGATTAAAGGTCAGAAGAATCAGCCGGTCTTATCTCACACAGCAGAACTTCCTTTAATTAAACGGCAAAATATCTGAAACTCTGCTGAAACCTTTGCATCAAGTTCCAAATGTCAGATATTTCCCCTCAAATCAAACACATCATTGAGAGTCACGCCACGAACGTGTTCATGAGGGCACGTCTTCACGTTATACCCAATTTCTACAGCTGATTTTAGGTCCCTCTTTAAGGCCTTGCACCTTCACACCTAGCTGAGCTAATTACAGCACAAACACCAGCACGCCCTCTTCGTCTCTCCATGCTGGTCTCCTGGTCAATCGTTCGTTTAATAAAAAATCAGCTGGCTACAGAGCTGTGGCAGACCGTGCTCCCTGTGTATGGAGTGACCTTCCATTATATGCTGGGGCAGCGTGAGTCATGACTGGAAATCTGTCGTCACGTCACTACAGCTTCTCCTAGAATTGGTGTCGGGTCCTTTTAACGTCCTCTTAATCAGAAGATTTTAAATACAGCTGTTTATCTCATCATTATGTTCTTGCTGTTTTACCCCGTGTTTTACGTTTTGACTAGCCTGAACTCCATCCTGGGTATTCCTTGGAAAGTGTATTGGTACCATGCTGCATGGTCGCCGCCATCAGGACAGATGTGGCTGTGATGAACCTGCAGCCTGCAGGGGGCGCTCACACGGCACACTCACCAGCAGTCCGACTCTCAGGGTTTCACACTGCTTTTTTGGCATCGACAGGTAACCAGAGAAGACGCTCTGCCCGTTGTCACGGAAACGGAGGCGGGATTTGAGGAGGCGGGACTCGTCGGCGGTCACCGTGTAGTGGACGGCTGCGAGACAGACAGACAGTCAGAGGACAAACCAGATCACCAACAGACTGTAAATATTTTCAAGCATGAAACATCACAAACATCAGAACCGTGTAGAAATACAGACTTCATGTCTGATAACTGGTCTGGTTTACTCTGGTCACATGATGATAAACCGTGACACAAACTGAGCTGCCTTGTTGTCATGTTTATATTTTCTCTTCTGATGGATATTTTAAAGTAAACACAGAGTAAACTACGTCATTCATTTATCACTGTTTCTCTCCTTAAATGTTTTTATTCACCTTTTGTAGTAGCAGTACCTTCTTCACTTTGTTGTACTGCAGTATCTATCTGCTGTGTTTATCATGTATGTGTACTTTTGTTCTGTGTTCAGTCCCGTGGCCAGCCAATCAGATCCATCTAGGGCTCCCCTCCACTCCGCACCAGATCGTAGACTAAAGTTACTGGACCCCCTCTGGGCACACTGGATTCTCCCGGGCTTCACCCTGATCCCCATGACCTGCTGGATTCCCCTGAACCCCCCCTGAACCGGCCTTAGCATTTTCCTGTAATCTGTTAAGTAAACATTTTTCCTCTGAACCAAATTCCTGAATCTGAATCTGAGTCCAGACTTCCTGAGTCAGTCTCTGCCGTAAACATGAAGCATTGTCCGCTTCGTCGGTCACTTACTTTGTTATTTAGAAAAGAAGATTTTTATTTTTAATCACGTCTGTTTTCAAACGTGCAGGAAGGGAAACACCACCGCTGATAATAATCATTAATATTCATAAATGAGCCGACGCTGCTGACTTCAATTACACTTCATCTGTGTGTGTGTGTGTGAGGAGGGGTGGTGTCATAGCAACAGTGTGACCTCGTCTCTGATTGGTCAAATTAACAAGACACAGCCAGAACACACACTCGTGCACACACACACAGCGCCCTGAGGAATACTGAGTGTGTTTCTCAGATGTAATAATATCAGTTTCTGTAATGTGATTTATCATCCAGAGAAACACACAGACCACAAGGACACGAGGACACGAGGACACGAGGACACCAGATGATGTCATCTGGTGTGTGCGTTTGTCTGAATGTCAGTGTGTGTGTGTCACTTTGTTGATTAACAGCAGGCGCTAATTGACAGCTTCATCCTGCCAATCAATCAGGCTGGTTAATTAACAGGATGGACACACACACACACACACACACACACACACACACACACACACACACACACACACAGGAAGCTGGTTGATTATTGGTCATTAGTCCTGACTATAAACAGACTCGTTAGCATCGTGTCCTCATAAACACACCATCTGTCCGGTTAGCCACAGAAGCTAACGCAGCGGCTTCAGGCCGGATGCACAGACTCTTTGGAAACCTGCAGCAGGCTGCTGATCTATGAACACGAGGTGCTGACTGTAAAGCTGTGACGGGCTGATCAACACTGTGTGGTGAACAGGGTGAACGTGGTGAACATTGTGAACAGGGTGAACAAGGTGAACGTGGGTGAACAGGGTGAACAGGGTGAACGTGGGTGAACGTGGGTGAACAGGGTGAACAGGGTGAACGTGGGTGAACGTGGGTGAACGTGGGTGAACGTGGGTGAACAGGGTGAACGTGGGTGAACGTGGGTGAACGTGGGTGAACGTGGGTGAACAGGGTGAACGTGGGTGAACGTGGGTGAACGTGGGTGAACAGGGTGAACGTGGGTGAACGTGGGTGAACGTGGGTGAACGTGGGTGAACAGGGTGAACAAGGTGAATGTGGGTGAACGTGGTGAACATTGTGAACAGGGTGAACAAGGTGAATGTGGGTGAACATTATGAACGTGGTGAACATTGTGAACAGGGTAAACGTGGAGAACAGGGTGAACATTATGAACGTGGTGAACAGGAACAGGGTGAACGTGGTGAACAGGGTGAACGTGGAGAACAGGGTGAACAGGGTGAACATTATGAACGTGGTGAACAGGAACAGGGTGAACATGGTGAACATTGTGAACAGGGTGAACAAGGTGAACGTGGTGAACAGAGTGAACATTGTGAACGTGGAGAACAGGGTGAACATTATGAACGTGGTGAACAGGAACAGGGTGAACGTGGTGAACAGGGTGAACGTGGAGAACAGGGTGAACATTGTGAACGTGGAGAACAGGGTGAACATTATGAACGTGGTGAACAGGAACAGGGTGAACGTGGTGAACAGGGTGAACGTGGAGAACAGGGTGAACATTGTGAACGTGGTGAACAGGAACAGGGTGAACATGGTGAACAGGGTGAACATTGTGAACGTGGTGAACAGGAACAGGGTGAACATGGTGAACAGGGTGAACAGGGTGAACGTGGTGAACAGGAACAGGGTGAACGTGGTGAACGTGGTGAACATTGTGAACAGGGTGAACGTGGGTGAACAGGGTGAACGTTGTGATTGGCTGGGTCAGTTCAGCTGCTCACTCACTGATGTTGTCTCTGTCGCTCTTCTCTCCGGTGCTGAAGATGTAGGAGAAACACACCTCCACCTGAATACTGACACACACAGAGAGTCAGGGGTTAGCTGTCAGCATGTTAGCTGTTAGCGTGTTAGTGTGTCACAAGTTTCAGTCTCACCAGAAGTCACAGCTGTTCGGGTCGGCGACATCCGGAGAAACTCTGAGGGTTTTATTGAGGTGAATGACTGGCCGAGTTCTGAGGAGTCAACCAATCAACAATCAACACATTATCAACAACAGAACTGAGCAGCAGCCTCACAGATCAGTGAGGCAGGAACACATCAGTTTGGGTACCTGAGCAGAACCACGGTGTCGTCCAGAGAGCCGACCAGCAGGTCTGGGTATTTGTTCCCGTCAACATCCACAGCTCCAGACAGAGAGTACCCGAAGGTCCTGAACCCAGGAGAGACCCTGCTGCCCCGGATCACCTGCAGAGAGTCAAAGGGGGGTTACAGGTGTGGTCTGCACACCGACCGGTACCATGAAGAGGTGTGTTTACTGTGAGACCTGGCTCGGTTCTGTAGAGACCCCCTCGCTGCTCCCGCTCCAGATCATCACACTTCCTGTTTCATGGAAAGGAGCACCGACTGCAAAGTCTGAAACACGAAACTCATGTCAGAATCGTCTTCTGCACTTTCTTCAGATGTTAAAATGTGTTTCTCAGCGTCCTCACCCTGGAAGCCGTCCTGGTTCAGGTCTCCAGTGGCAGCAACAGACATACCGAAGGCCGACCCCGCCGGTCCTTTCAGCACCACGCTGGGCCGTGGATCAAGCCGACCTCCCGAGTTCATGTAAACGTAAACTGCCCCGCCCGCCTCCTGCTGACGCTGGAAGTAAAAAGGAGCGCCCACCAGCAGGTCGGTCCACCTGCAGGAGGAAAGAAATCCAGAGGTCTTCAAATGCACCGCAAAATGAGATTTCGGAAGAAGATCTCAGAGGTGGTCTGACCGAGGGACTGGATCAAGCGCTGAGTCTTATATGAACCTGGGTTAAATTTGGTCAACATGAGGACAGCTCTGATCCTGCTGCAAGTTGTTTCAAGTCTTTCCAACCTGTCACGTTCAAAGACAAAAGCACCCTCAGAGCAACGGGTCTTACCCTGGGTAATGTTTGGTCAGCGTGACACTGGGAGTAAAACGTATTCTAATAACATTGAATGTTATAAACAACAATGAGACATTAAATAGGACAGTTATGAAACATGAGGACGGTAGCTTCCTGTGATTGGTCTAAAGGAACCGCTCCAGAGTTCACTTGGTCCGAGACTCCGCATTGAGGTGAACCAGAGAGGGGTTGCTTGATCTGCACCAGAGTTTGAGCCCGGCATTCACACCGACCCAAAGGAGCAGCACTGGGGGGGTTAATGCTGCAGGGTCCGGTCCAGCTGGAGTAAAGAAGACTGGTGTGAACCGGTCCTGGGAATCCTGGAACTAGACTGTGTCTGAAGTGTCTTCATGTTCGGCGAGTCTTCATTCCTTCATGCTGGAACACAAAACAGGACGTGACCTCGTGTAAGTCCTTCCTTACCCGTCATTGTTGAGGTCGGTGGTTGCCACGGCGTTCCCGAAGTACGAGCCTGTCTGCTCGCCGCGCAGCGTCTGCTGAATATGCAGTTTATCAGATAGCTTCGCCGCCAGCAGCACAGAGCCACGGGCGTCTTCCTTACTGTCCTTTGGAGCTCCTGGTCACCAACACAGCAATCAACTGATCAATACATGAGTCCAATCACTCCTGCACCACTTCACACAGAGAGGAAGGAAGAGGACTCACCGGTTATTATGGTTTCCTTATCCTGAGAGAGGAGACGGCGAGCCTGAGTCACCGAATATCCTGCATGGGCAGAGAGATACAACCGTTAACAGTGGCTGAGTCAGCTGTTAGCAGTTAGCATGGTGGTACTGAAGTTTCTAGGCTGATTTCAGGCATCAGGGATCGGGCAACCCATCCCAACTTCGTCTAGACGAAGCGTCCATATGTAACGAGTTGGGATGGGTTGCGTTTGAAGACCTCCGAATTTTTGCGCGCGTAGGGCTCCATGGTCAAGTTAGCAAGAATATAAATATGCAATGCCGGTTAGACATTCAAAATAAAACTAGAGGGTAACTTTGTGTGGTTACGTTTAAGCAACCAAACTCCCCGGTCAGGTTTAGGGATAATTATGTGCCTTGAATCATGAAACATTCCTAAAAGGAATCAGTGCTGGCTTTTTTATTTCCGAGGTGAAAGGAATCCCGGCCTCCTGGTGTCACTCTGACTTTCCTGTTATTGATAGCACAACTTTTAGAGTTGAACTCATGTTCATTGGTATCGGACACCGGAAGACGTGACAAAGCTCTGGGAATGAGAACGGGCCTGAGTTTTGTGTGAGTCCGCCTGTTTCCTGTTTTATTTTGAAGTTTGTCGATGTGTTATATCTAATTCCCCTGAGGTGTCTCACCTGTTCCGTCCCTGCCTGGTCTGTATTTAAAGTCGCCATTTCCTTTTGGTCTTTGCTGGATTGTGCAATGGAAATAAAAACCTTAAAAGACATCTGGATTGGAATCTTTATTTCAGAAGACTCACTAAAGGACATATTTCCGTTACAATTGTCTTTCGTCAGTCATGTCGTGTCTCACTTGTGTTCCTGGTCTCAGCCTGCACCCCGCCTGATTTTCACCCTCCTGTCTTCTATTTGTTCTGTCTGTCCTCAGCCTGTGGATCATCTGGCCTCGGACATCTCTTTGTTTGGGAATGCACCACATCCACCACCATTACTGTCAACACAGGAACCCCCCAAGGCTGCGTCCTGAGCCCCTTTCTCTACACTTTGTACACCAATGACTGCAATAGCCCTTCTCCCATTACAAAATACTTCAAATACTCTGATGACACAGCCATACTCGCCCTCCTCTCTGACACAGAATCAGTTGCAGCATATCACCAATCCAATGCCCACTTCACAAAATGGTATAAGGACAGTCACCTCCTCTTCAACGTCACCAAGACAAAGGAACTCATCCTGGACACACGCCGTAAACCCTCCACCCCTCACTGCCCCGTCTCCATAAACAGCCAGCAAGTAGAAATTGTTGACAGCTTCAGGTACCTCAGCATCACTATGGACAATAAACTGAGTTTTGATCACCACATCACAGACATCCACAAACACTGTCAACAAAGACTATGTCTTTCGTAAGCTCAGGACTCTATCAGTCAAACCACACCTACTGCTTGTCCTTTACCAGAGTATCCTTGAACCTGTCCTCTTGTACTTCACCATGCTCTCTCTCATTAATAAGAACAAGCTTCTTAAAATCACTAACACCTCCTCCAAAATAATAGGTCTTCCCACTCCCAACCTGCCAGCCCTCATTAATACCGCCACTGCTCGAAGACCAACTACCATAGTACAAAACCCCAGCCACCCTCTCAACTCATGCTTCACCCTTCTCCCATCTGGCCGTAGATACAGACAGCTGCTCTACAAAAAGGCACGCTTCAGAAAATTGTTTTGTACCCTGCTCTATAAGAGCACTCACAGTCAAGTTAATAATGTCTCTTTTGTGTTATGTGTAGATATGTGTATATTGTCCATATATGTGTGTACTATGCATAGTTTGTGTGTAGAATTCATATTGAAGGTGCTCTTTGTACAGACTGTGAAAACAAATTTCCTCCACTGAGGACAATACAGAATGAATCTGAATCTGTTGGTCTGCACACCTGGTGTCGTTTAAATAATGAGTAAATATCAGCCCCCTGAGTCTCATTTCCTGCAGTCTGGGTCCTCCTGAGCACACGGCACCTCAGACGCCACCATCAGGAAGTGAAGTCACGCTGAATGATCAGGTGTTTCATGGGTTCACGTTTAAAGGCTCACCTATGTAAATGTTCCTGGTTCCCAGGTTGGGGAAGGAGCTCCTCTCGGTGTCAAATTCCATAGTTGGATTCATCCAGGAGACGTGGACGTTACCTGCAGCACACACACATCAAATACACACAGTTTTCAGGAGCTGGGTTCTGATTGGACAGAGAGCAGCGAGTGACGGACAGCGCAGAGCTCACCTTGCCAATCGAAGCTTCCAGGTGAGCCGACGATGACCTCCGTCTGAGTGATGGCGGCAGAAATCCCCATGGTGCACATGGACTCACCGCTGACATCATTCAGGTGACTGCACACACAGAAGCACAGGCTCACTGACAGGAAGTGCCAGGTGTCACGTGACCTTTGCCGTGTGACCTACCTGCAGGGCTGGTCGGGGTTCTGCCAGTGCATGTCTGCGTCGTCGTACTGCAGGTCGTTTCCACGGATATAACACCGGCCAATCATGTGTCTGAGCTTAGACTCGCCGTAGAGTTTGGCGAATCGATGACCACACGCCTGGAGACGGTCAGTTGTTAGTTAGCAAAGAACGTGTAGAAGAGAGAGTTCAACACACAGGAGCTGCAGCCAGGTGCAGTCTGACAAACATAAGGTGCTCTATCAGCCAATGGGAACAGAGACTCACCAGGACCCTCCCCCCGGGTCGGCCCTGACTGGCTACTGAGACGCCGAGCCACATGTCCTCAGCCAGGTCCTCCGTCGGGTTCAGATCTGAAACAGGACAGGACGGGAGAGTGACTCGCCACAGGCTGCTCTTTCCTTTGTTTGTACAGTGTGACGTTAAAATGAACTCCTCTGATTGGCCCTTTGCGTGGTTATAGCTGATTACCCGCTCAGGACAAATCTTTATCATGTCTGAGTGTGTGTGTGTGTGTTCAGGAGGCAGATAAAAGCTCTCAGGGGACAGCAGCTGTCACGTCTCACTGAGGGATGGACTACCCATAATGCACCAGGGGAGAGATAACAGGACTGAGTGAGGAGACAAACAGAAACCAGACATTTAAAGCCACAGCAGCCCGGTTCTGCCTCACAGAACCAGAACTCGTCCAGAAGGTTCTGCTGCAAACCGATGAAGGACAAACAGACACTGGAGCCGGCTGTGATTGGCTGAAAGGCAGACAGGTAAAGGCGGGGAGTCAGCTGGAGGTCTGATGCACCTTTTCAGAAACTTGCATTCGTCTCCATGGAAACGCCCGAGGTCACGTCTCATCTCGTCAGTCGAACCTCCTGTAACCACACCCCCAGTGATGTCACGGTGTGTGGGAGGTGACGGAGGCGGCTGCTACAGGTGTGTCTCCTCCCGCATAAACACATTCACTTAATTAAAGGTGAGTCTCACCTGAGCCTATGAGCTGCATCCTGCTGCAGTCTGATTGGTAAGCGGTGACTGGGCAGCTGTACACTCCTCCTGTGCGATTGGCTGGAACATTAGGCTCCGCCTTCTCCCTTGGAGCTCCGACCAATAGCCTGTCAGGATGAGACAGGTGGGACAGGTGAGACAGGTGGGACTTCAGGATCCCTCCTAAGCATCCTTGAATTCATCTCAATGACTCGTTGGAGGTCTTGAAGGACGCTTGGGGAATATTCTGTAACTTATTCCAGGACTCCTGGAATGTCCTGGAAAACCCTTGAAGCCCCCCTGAAGCCTCTTAATATATTTGACACACACAACACACACAACACAGGACACACTCACACAACACACACAACACAGGACACACACAGCACAGGACACACACACACAACACACAACACAGGACACACACACACACAACACACAGCACAGGACACACACACAACACACAACACAGGACACACACACACAACACACAGCACAGGACACACACACAACACACAACACAGGACACACACACACAACACACAGCACAGGACACACACAGCATAGGACACACACAGCACAGGACACACACACACAACACACAACACAGGACACACACACACAACACACAGCACAGGACACACACAACACACACAACACAGGACACACACAGCACAGGACACACACACAACACACAACACAGGACACACACACAGCACAGGACACACACAGCACAGGACACACACACACAACACACAACACAGGACACACACACAACACACAACACAGGTCACACACACAACACAGGACACACACACAACACAGGACACACAGCACAGGACACACACACAACACACAACACAGGTCACACACACAACACAGGTCACACACACAACACACAACACAGGTCACACACACAACACAGGACACACACAGCACAGGACACACACACAACACAGGTCACACACACAACACACAACACACACAACACACAACACACAACACAGGTCACACACACAACACAGGACACACACAACACAGGACACACACAACACACAACACACACACACAACACACAGCACAGGACACACACACAACACACAACACAGGTCACACACACAACACACAACACAGGTCACACACACAACACAGGACACACAGCACAGGACACACACACAACACACAGCACAGGACACACACACAACACAGGACACACACAACACAGGTCACACACACAACACACAACACAGGTCACACACACAACACAGGTCACACACACAACACACAACACAGGTCACACACACAACACAGGACACACACAACACACAACACACAACACAGGACACACACAACACAGGTCACACACACAGCACAGGACACACACACAACACACAACACAGGTCACACACACAACACAGGACACACACACAACACACAGCATAGGACACACACAGCACAGGACACACACACAACACACAACACAGGACACACACACAACACAGGACACACACACAACACACAGCACAGGACACACACACACAACACAGCACAGGACACACACACAACACACAGCACAGGACACACACACACACAACACAGGACACACACAGCACAGGACACACACACAACACAGGTCACACACACAACACACAACACAGGTCACACACACAACACACAGCACAGGACACACACACAACACGCAACACAGGTCACACACACAACACAGGAAACACACACAACACAGGACACACACACAGCACAGGACACAGGACACACACACAACACACAGCACAGGACACACACACACAACACAGCACAGGACACACACACAACACACAGCACAGGACACACACACAACACACAACATAGGACACACAGCACAGGACACACACACAACACACAACACAGGACACACACAGCACAGGACACACACACAACACACAACATAGGACACACACAGCACAGGACACACACACACACACACAACACAGGACACACACAGCACAGGACACACACACAACACAGGACACACACAACACACAGCACAGGACACACACAACACAGGACACACACAACACAGGACACACACACACACAACACACAGCACAGGACACAAACACACACACACACAACACACAACACAGGACACACACAGACACAGGACACACACACAACACACACACGACACAGGACACACACACAACTAAGGACACACACACAACAGCTGACTCCGTTACAGTTTTTTTCAGCTGCTAAGACGCGCCGGTCCAAACTGAAGACACACAGTGTGCGTTACCAACACGCATCCTGACCTCCAAAAGTCACTCAAACATGTCACACAAGCCTCAAAATAAACTCTACAACTATTCTCACTCAGAAAGCAAACTCTGTCACTCGTAACACACTGAACTACAAAACAACGGGGAGCGTTACGTGAATTTGATGAACTTTTATCTTCGAAGCGCGTTTCATACAGAAGACAGCTGTTCCCAGTCACTTTGGTACATTTCTCAGATCAGACCTGAAATTATACACACATCATCAGGCCACGTGTGCACAACTTGCTGATGCTTTGACACGTTTATGCAAATGATTAGGGACACTTGTCTGCTGTTTGCTACACTATCACTTGCTGATCACAGTGTATTATACTGGTATACTGTTTTTTTCTGCATCCCGATGACATGCTCTGTCAACAACTTACAGTGCACACAGTAAAAGTGTAACAGTGAATCCTGTCCAGTCCTCTGCAACGTATAACTCGGTACTGTAGAGGCTGATCTACAGAAAAAGTGCAGCCTTGTGCATTTTCAATCATCGTCATCCAAACCTGAGCCATAGTTTACAAATACAAATAGTTTTGCTAATGTTCAGCATGATTCTAGAAATGGTCGAAAACGACAGAATAACATCTTTTCACTTTATTGACGGTCCTATAGTTTATGGAACAAGAATGAATCAGAGATGCCGACATTTCCTTCCATATCCTTTTTTTCTACATCACTGCATTCAGTAACTTGTGAAAGTCCCTGACGTGTCAGTGCTGCAGTTGTTTCCGCAGTAACACTGGTAGCTGAGACACAGTGACCACAGCCTGTAACTGATGCACCAGGTGATGCGGCCTGAAGTGAGTTCAAGCAGCTGTGAATTCATTTACACCAAGCTGTGTGTGTGTGCATGTGTGTGCTGCTATCTTTGTGGGGACATTCAGTTTTAAACTTCGCTGTGAGGACCGTCCTGCTCTATGAGGACTGTCCTCACAGAGCAGTCACTGCTTTCAGGACGGGGCTGCACGAATCTGATCATGTCTCTGATGTGTTTCCTCTTCGATCGCTTCGTTGTCTCCCTGAGCCAATCAGCTTCTTACTTTTCTGTCCTTTCTTCTCTTTTGAGCTGCTTCACTTTTTCATGTCGCCTTTCTCTCTCTCGCACACTCATCACGTGTTACTTAGCCTATGTTCATGTAGTGCACTCACGCTTTCATGTGACAGGGCAACTAGCCAATCAGACATGATCATTAAATTATAACCGTTTCCAGCTCTGACGCCTCTCTCCACGAAATAAACAGAATGATACAAACTCTCTGTGTCATTTTCGATCTGATGTTGTGAGTCAGTATCTTGTGCAGCTGTAGTTCAGGTCAGGAGGGAGTTTAAATCACGATCCTCAGCAAACGTGTGTCTGAGAACGAGGAAACGTGTGTCTGAGTTTCATTTCCTGTGTTCGGTCCTGCACGCACACCTCAGATCAGCCCTCCAGCTGAACACACAGCAGCTGATCCAGGTCTCTGCGTGACCTCTGACCCCTCAGCTCGGGTTCAGGTGTGTTGCCATGGTGATGATGTCGCAGGTCGAAGAAATGAGAAGCAAGAACCCTTCAAGGACCCCTGATGCCTCCTCAAGGGCCCGTAAAACTTTCAATATCGTTATTATTGATCAGTCTAGTTACTGTTCAGCCAATCACAGACAGAGAGACATGTGATTGGCGGGACACTGAGCCAATCAGAGGACACGCTGACCTCCTGACTCCTGAAGTCCCCGAGGAAACTAGATTACTGTGTGTGTGGGGGGGGTCCATTTGCAGCCAATCCAATTACAGAACAAAAGAGATGGTTGTCATGGTAACGGTAGTGATGGACAGCTGGGTGACCTCTGAGTGACCTCTGCACGCCTCCTCTGGGACCTGACGTCATGTGACCTGTCAGCAGCTGCTCAAACCCTGAACAGGTAACTTACATGAGGAGACTCCTAAACCACTTCCTATATAAACTCCTCAAGGACTCCTGGATCTTCTTCAAGGACTCATTGACCCTCCTACATCTTTCTGAATAACCCCTGGACCGTCTTCAAGGCCCCCCTCCTGCTGTACCTCACATTATTAACGCTGCAGGGTATTCACCTGACTCTGTGAATTCCTCCTGTGTAACAGGGTTAAAGACTCTCTCTCCTCCTCTCTAATCCTTCATGTCAACTCCAGCCTGGAAACTGGTTCTAACCTGCCTCTGCAACACGACCCTGAACCGCCTACAAGTGGTCCAAAGTGCTGCACAGCTTCAGAGCCGGCCCTGCACCAGCAGCACCAGGCGGGAGCCTCCGGGTCTGAAGAGCCTTAAACCTGCGTTCTCTCTGACAGCCAGCAGGGGGTGACTCCACTGGGCTGTATAGAAGTCTATGAGAAGATGAGGCCACTTCTCTCTTCAGTAAACACTTTCCTGATGAGTTGATGGTGATCTTCAGCACCTGAGTGGGCCTCTGAACTCGCCGACTGTCTCTCCTGATGCTTCTCCGGTTCACTCACTTTGTCTTTTGTTAAACCTATTCTAAATGTAATCTCTCACAGTGTTTCCCAGCCATCTGCCAGCCAATCAGAGAGCGGCATGTTTGGTGGTTTTGTCAGCTTGTCAGCTGCAGCAGGAAGTCATGATTTCACACATCAGTCAGTTTACAGCAGAACTAAAACCGCAGGGTGTTAACTGAGCCAACGCTCACAGGAAGAGAGACAGACAGGTGGCAGATAGACAGGTGACAGACAGACAGGTGACAGACAGGTGACAGACTGGTGACAGACTGGTGACAGACTGGTGACAGACAGGTGACAGACTGGTGACAGACTGGTGACAGACAGGTGACAGACAGGTGACAGACTGGTGACAGACAGACAGACAGGTGACAGACAGGTGACAGACAGACAGACAGGTGACAGACTGGTGACAGACAGACAGACAGGTGACAGACAGGTGACAGACTGGTGACAGACAGGTGACAGACTGGTGACAGACAGGTGACAGACTGGTGACAGACTGGTGACAGACAGGTGACAGACTGGTGACAGACAGACAGGTGACAGACAGGTGACAGACAGGTGACAGACTGGTGACAGACAGACAGGTGACAGACAGGTGACAGACAGGTGACAGACTGGTGACAGACAGACAGACAGGTGACAGACTGGTGACAGACTGGTGACAGACAGGTGACAGACAGGTGACAGACAGACAGGTGACAGACAGGTGACAGACTGGTGACAGACTGGTGACAGACTGGTGACAGACAGACAGACAGGTGACAGACAGACTGGTGACAGACTGGTGACAGACAGGTGACAGACAGGTGACAGACAGACAGGTGACAGACAGGTGACAGACTGGTGACAGACTGGTGACAGACTGGTGACAGACAGACAGACAGGTGACAGACAGACTGGTGACAGACTGGTGACAGACAGGTGACAGACAGGTGACAGACAGGTGACAGACTGGTGACAGACAGACAGACAGACAGACAGGTGACAGACTGGTGACAGACAGGTGACAGACTGGTGACAGACAGACAGACAGGTGACAGACAGACTGGTGACAGACAGACAGGTGACAGACAGGTGACAGACAGGTGACAGACTGGTGACAGACAGACAGACAGGTGACAGACTGGTGACAGACTGGTGACAGACAGACAGACAGACAGGTGACAGACTGGTGACAGACTGGTGACAGACTGGTGACAGACAGGTGACAGACTGGTGACAGACAGGTGACAGACAGGTGACAGACAGGTGACAGACTGGTGACAGACAGACAGACAGGTGACAGACTGGTGACAGACAGGTGACAGACAGGTGACAGACAGACAGACAGGTGACAGACAGGTGACAGACAGACAGACAGGTGACAGACTGGTGACAGTCAGACAGACAGGTGACAGACAGGTGACAGACAGGTGACAGACAGGTGACAGACTGGTGACAGACAGACAGACAGGTGACAGACTGGTGACAGACAGACAGACAGGTGACAGACTGGTGACAGACAGGTGACAGACTGGTGACAGACAGGTGACAGACAGGTGACAGACTGGTGACAGACAGGTGACAGACTGGTGACAGACAGGTGACAGACAGGTGACAGACTGGTGACAGACAGGTGACAGACTGGTGACAGACAGGTGACAGACAGTCAGACAGACAGGTGACAGACAGTCAGACAGACAGGTGAGCACTCACAGGTAACGGTCTGTCTTCAGGTCCTGGTGCAGAGCCACAGACAGTCCGAACAGACTTCCGTCTCCGCCCGTCTTCAGCAGCGGGAACGCCGTGTCGAGGTTGGACGCCACGCACACGGCGAGCCACGCAGTCAGCAGGGCGCACACACCTGTCGCCATGGAGACGCTCACCTGAAAGGGCGACGGGCCACTGTGAGACCGGTGGAACAAGCAGCAGCTGCACGGGTGATGGGAAGGCCTGATACTGACTGTTTATTGGTTGTTTGTTGAAGGTCACGTGACCTGCTGAGCGCCTCACTCCTTTATTATGTCGAACATGTAGAGCAGGTGTGTGCGTCTCAGCCTTTCTTATTAAGATTATTTACTTTAACCTGGAACAGCTGTGGAACTATCATCAGAGTAACTTATTGCATTTAATTACTTTTCCAAATTTCTTCTGAACGCTCGCAGCTTGAGAGGCAGTTTAACTGCCACAACCAATCAGAAGCCTCTTTACTAACTAGCGGTGAAACGCAGAGGAAGAAGAAAACCTGCAGAGCAACAACATGAATTCTGTCCAGCTGCTTACAGGAAAGATGTGATGTTTGTTCTATTATGACTAGGGCTGAGCACGGTAACGCAGTTTATTCAAAAGTAGTATTATTTTGAAAATGCGCTGCTGCTGGCTCTGAGTGCAGTCACGGGTCACAGGAGGGCGGTGTTGATCAGCTGGGCGGCTTCGGTAGGCTGGACGCAGCGTCAGGGCCAAGCAGGTAAACAAAAGCAGCACCAGCGATCAAACGCCACAGCCAAGAGGACAGCTGCACATGTCGGTCTGAGCTCCTCAGGTGATCAGACAGGGAGACGGCGCTCCGCGGGTAAACGGCGGCCGCTCTATGGAGAGTTCTGCGCGCTACGCAGCTGTCGCCTATTTAACTTCAGTTAAATTACAGGCTGCATAACTCTAGCTGAGAGGCCTTCATCTGGGTTTGCAGGGACGCTCTGCCGTGTGAATTCCCTCCTGTTGGTGTCCTGGTTAGTAAAACTCCCAAACAGCAGGATCAGTCTCGTTCTTCATGCTGCGTCGCGTACAAAAAGTTCAATAATATTCAGCTTCGGCGGCGGCTGAGCAGCTTCTGATTCTCTGGACTCTGGATAACAGCTAACGCCCGGCAGCAGCCGACAGCTTCAGTTTAATGTTTGATTTGATCACATTAAAGATGTTTAAGTTGAAATTTACAGAAATAATCTATTGCTGCTGTGTAAAGGGAATACTGCTGGGAAACCACATGTAACAGCAGGACATTCAAATAACGTTTTGACTGTTGCCCAGCACTAATTATTATTTATTATTTTTATTATTAATTTTATTTATTTATGTTGTCATTTAATCACATGTAAGCAGTTCCTCTCCAACACCTCACGGTCTACAGCAGATTACACAGAAAGTAAAATCTAACACAGAACATCCTCCAGCACATTTACTCCAGTACTGTACTCGTGTATAATTCTGAGGTATCTGTACTTTACTTGAGTATTTCCATGTTTTACTGCTGTATACTCTCTCTGCAGACTCAGGCTGAAGTTAGTGAAGATGAAATGAAAGCAGGTGAATGTAAAGCCTCAGTCTGACCCACAGTTTGATCACAACACGTCACTGAAGAAGCTCGAGCGTTTGTGCTCCGTTAGTGAAAGTAAAACAGGCTGTAATCAGACACTCAGCGATTACTGAGCAAAAGATTAAATCCAGCATTAAATGCATGAAGTCTGGCTGAGAGAGAACTGACCTTCTCCTCCTGCGCAGCCTGAAGCCTTCCGCTCACCAAAGCTTTACTTCAACGGGTCGTGGGGTCGATTCCCGCTGAGCTCCGTCTGCCTTCTCCTCCGCCTGCCGTCTGAACTGCACATGCTCCGCTGCCTGCTTTATCTCCACGCCGCTCCACCTTCCTGCCTCGCTCTCCCTCTCATTCTCATTCTCCAGCTGTGCTCGCTCGCCCTCAAATGAAATCATGTCTCTCTCCCGCCCACATACGCACATTAACACACACACACAGACACACACACACACAGGCACACACAGACACACATACACACAGGCACACACACACACACACACACACACACACACACACACACACACACATACACACAGAAAGACACACACACACACACACATACACACATGCACATTAACACACACACACACGCACATTAACACACACATACGCACACACACACAGAAAGACACACACATGCACAGACAGACACACACACGCACACACACACACACACACACACACACACACACACACACACACATACACACATGCACATTAACACACACACACACGCACATTAACACACACACATACGCACACACACACACAGAAAGACACACACATGCACAGACAGACACACACACACACACACACACACACACACACACACATACACACATGCACAGACAGACACACACACGCACACAGAAAGACACACACATGCACAGACAGACACACACACGCACACACACACACACACACACACATGCACAGACAGACACACACACGCACACACACATACACACATGCACATTAACACACACACACACACGCACATTAACACACACACACAGAAAGACACACACATGCACAGACAGACACACACACGCACATTAACACACACACACAGAAAGACACACACATGCACAGACAGACACACACACGCACATTAACACACACACAGAAAGACACACACACACACACACACACATACACACATGCACATTAACACACACACGCACATTAACACACACACAGAAAGACACACACACACACACACACATACACACATGCACATTAACACACACACACGCACATTAACACACACACATACGCACACACACACACAGAAAGACACACACACACACAGAAAGACACACACATGCACAGACAGACACACACACACATACACACATGCACAGACAGACACACACACGCACACACACACACACACAGAAAGACACACACACGCACACAGAAAGACACACACATGCACAGACAGACACACACACACATACACACATGCACAGACACACGCACACACACATACACACATGCACAGACAGACACACACACGCACACACACATACACACATGCACAGACAGACACACACACATACACACATGCACAGACAGACACACACACGCACACACACATACACACATGCACAGACAGACACACACACGCACACACACATACACACATGCACAGACAGACACACACACGCACACACACATACACACATGCACATTAACACACACACACGCACATTAACACACACACACACAGAAAGACACACACATGCACAGACAGACACACACACACACACATTAACACACACACACACACACATTAACACACGCACACACACACATTAACACACGCACACACACGCACACACACGCACATTAACACACACACAAACATTAACACACACACACAGAAAGACACACACACGCACATTAACACACACACACAGAAAGACACACACACAGACAGACACACACGCACATTAACACGCACACACATGCACATTAACACACACACACACAGAAAGACACACACAGACACACACACGCACATTAACACACACACACATACACACATTAACACACGCACACACACATAAACACACGCACACACACACACACATAAACACACGCACACACACGCACACACACACACATTAACACACACACACACACACACACATTAACACACGCATACACACACACATTAACATTAACACACACACACACACATTAACACACGCATACACACACATTAACACACACACACACACACACATTAACACACACACACACACACACACATTAACACACACACACACACACACACATTAACACTCGCACACGCACACACACACATTAACACTCACACACACACGCGCACACACACACACATTAACACACGCACACACACACACATTAACACACGCACACACACACACACACACACACATTAACACTCGCACACACACACACACACACACACACACCGGTCATAAATGGATTCAGGACGTCTGGGCGTGCGAGGGCACCTTGAATGTCTCGCTCTCTTTACACACAAACCCTGCTGTTTGTAATGTGTGTGCGTGAATCTGTGAGTAACACGCTTCTTCTTCTGGGCTTATTTTGGCTTCCTGTCTTTGTGACCACTTCCTCCTTTTCTCCTTTTTCTGTTTTTCAGAAAGAATGTAATTAGTCATCCTCACACGCACACACTCACTAACACTTCTAGACTTGTGAGGTCACTGAACGCCACCCGGCCAAACCCGAGCCCCAGCGTTTCTTGCGTCTCGCACGTGGAATGGTGCGATAAATAAACAGCTTTAGGATGAAAAAAGTGAACTCTATGAAACACTGAATGAAGGAGCTGAAGTGACGAGTTAAAGCTCGGTTTCTTGAATTAGCCACATTTTGACTGGAGTCTGGTGTGAGTCTCCTCCCACGTGTCGGTGCAGTCGAGCAGCGTGGGTCTCATCACTGTGGCAGGACTGCTGCACCAAACCCCATTAAAAAACTGACGTACTGCGAGTTCCCTCTGATGCTGCCAGGTTTCTCCTCCACGCACACGGGACGCATTTCACTGCTGATCCTGAACCCGGTTCTGACCCGAAACCCTAAAACAGATCATTGACCAAACACGCGTGTCTGCAGCTGCATCAGTGTCCTGACACACACACACACATCAGAGGCAACAGCAGTAACAGAAACGGATCCAAGGCTTCCTGTTCCTGAACGCACCGCTGACCCCGTGCACGCGCTCAGTCTCTGCTGCTCAAAGCAACTACAAAAAGACGCCTCCTCGTGTTCACACCTGAGAACAAGTTCCTGCTGCGGGACATAAACAAAGTGCTGGGAGTAAACCTCCGATTGGTCGAGCTGAACAGCCAATCAGAAAGCTCCGTGTCCCACTTCTACATCCTGAATGAGCTGAAACCTGATCCTGGTACT